GTGATGGTGGTGATGATGGTGGTGATGATGGTGATGGTGGTGGTAATGGTGGCAGTGACGGTGGTAGTGATGGTGGTAGTGGTGGTGGTGGTGATGGTGGTGGTGATGGTGGTGATGATGGTGGTGATGATGGTGATGGTGGTGGTAATGGTGGCAGTGACGGTGGTAGTGATGGTGGTGGTGGTGATGGTGGTGGTGGTGGTGATGATGTTCGTGATGGTGGTGGTGGTGGCGATGATGGTAGTAATGGTGATGGCAGTAGTGGTGGTGATGGTGGTGATGTTGGTAGTGATGATGATGGTGATAGTGACTGCAGGGAGGAAATGGGGCCGTGGTCTTGGTGTGGGCCACAGGATCGCAGTCCTTGTGAAGATGAGGCCCTGCTGGGTACTGATCTTGGCCCCCTGCCCTCTCCCTCAGGTACATCCGCTCAGAGCGGTCTGTCATCCTCATCAACTTCTGCCTGTCCATCATCTCCTCCAACGCCCTCATCCTCATTGGGCAGACCCAGACCCGCAACAAGGTAGGCAGCTCCCTCCCTGCCACGCACGTGCCAGCGTCCTCAGTTGGAGTGAGGGTGGACCCAGCAGGGGCCTGGACTGTGGGATCGCTGGGAGCTCAGGCAGGCGGGGGTGGGAGCAGGAAGAGCTGCCTGAGCCACGTGGAGTCACTCGCTCTCCTGTGGCTGCAGCAGCCCAGCGGGAGCTGGTCAGCTGGCCACGAAGGGCAGTTTGTGTCCCAGAGTCTCAGCTGGACTGGCCCTTTGAGATCAGCTCAGGTCCCTACCCAGCCATCGGGGTGGAATTGGCTTGTGCCCTTTCAGCCTCAGCTCGAGGGTCAGGGCTGGGGAGTGTCACCAGGGCTGACAAGCTCTGACTTAAATCCTTTCTCCCCACTCCTGCCACCACCCTGGCCAGCCCCGAGCCTGGCAGCTCATGGTGGGGCCCTTCAGCCTGCCCTCCCCAGGAACGCCCACCCCCGGTCCCCACCCTGTGGCCTCCACAGCCTGTCCAGCTAAACACAGCAGGCCCAGCATTCAGGTGGGGGCCTCTGCTTCCTCAAGGGGCCACCCTAGCAATGCAGGAGACAAAATACAGCAAGAGGGATTTTCAGCAAGACAGAGGGAAGGCCTGGCCTCCCGGACCCTGCTGAGTGCTGTGGCAGATGCTCATGGCCACCGTGAGCTTATCTGGGCCTTGCTGTGTGTCCTTGGGGTGTGACATGCCCTCTCTGGGCCTTGGGTTCACCACGTCTTGAATGAGTGGGCTTAGCTGGGGCTTTAGAGTGGTGTGTCTGTGCGTGAGGCCTGAGGAAGGCAGTGAGGGACGGTGTCTGTCCCTGGCAGTTGGTGGATGGGGTCATACAAGCACCCATGCCAGGGGCTTAAGATGTTCAGCAGCCCCTCAGGGTAGGTTTTTTCCTGCCTGGGCATCTGGCCGGTCCCCTTGAGAGCACCAGACACTGCGGCTCCCTCAGGGTGGGAGGGCAGGCGTGGGGCCGGGGAGCGCCTGCCCAGTGTCCTCTCACCTGCCTGCCCGCCCAGGTGGTGTGCACTCTGGTGGCCGCCTTCCTGCACTTCTTCTTCCTGTCCTCCTTCTGCTGGGTGCTCACCGAGGCCTGGCAGTCCTACATGGCCGTGACGGGCCGCCTCCGGAAACGCCTCATCCGCAAGCGCTTCCTCTGCCTGGGCTGGGGTGAGCGGTGGGCGGGCGGGGGCCTCCCTCTGGAGCCTCCTGGACGTCCTTCCCCCGGCCCTGCTGCTGGTTCCTGCCCCTTGCAGCCCCCTTCATGCCCCCGGCCACCCCTGCCCTCCGTTGCTCCCTGGGTGGGCTCCTCCCTCTGGGCCCCCCGCAGGGTCACCAGATACAACACAGGGCACCCTGTCCAATTTGACTGTCAGGTAACAAATAATTTCTTTGTAGAAGCGTGTCGTGCGCATTATTTGGGACCTACATATACTAAGAAGTGATTCCTTGTTTATCTGAAGTTCAAACGCGGTGGCATCCCTTGTGTTCCCTGCTTGTCTGGCGGCCCCGTGCCTAGCTCTGCAGTCCTCGGCCTGTCCACCTCCTGTCCTCTCGCACTCAGCCTCACCCTCTGTTCGGAGGCTCCAGCGGCACCTTCCTGGCCCCCTGCCCTCCACAGGCAGGGCTGGGCAGAGGTGGGGGTGTCGGGGCTTGGGTGGGGCCCGACACCCTTTCTTCTGGTCCTTCTCCAGGGCTCCCTGCGCTGGTCGTGGCCATTTCCGTGGGATTCACCAAGGCCAAAGGGTACAGCACCATGAACTAGTGAGTCGGAACGGTGGGGTGTGGTGGGTGCCCGCATGGCCTCCCAGAGCCTTCCGCGGCCTGGGGGGTGAGGGCTGGCCAGGCACCAGCTGCAGAGGCTCGGGAGGGTGGGGCCCCAGGGGCTGGAGGCTGAGCCCTTCCTTCCGACCAGCCAGCTCCTCCTTGGCAGCGCGGTGGGCGGTGGGATTGAGAGCAGTGGGGTTGGGGCCGTCAGAGCCTCCCACCTCCTAGTTAGGTGGCCTTGGACAGGCCCATTACCCATCTGAGTCTCAGTTGCCCCGTCCGCTCAGTGGGAAGCCCACCTGTGCACAGTGCTGGTGAGAGGGAGGACTGCATGAGGGTGACAGCTGTAGGCACAGTGGGTGCCGCCCCACACCAGGCCGATTTCACAGATGGAGTCACTGAGGCCAAGTCCTGGGGGCCTTACATGCCAAGCCAGGAGACTCAGGGTCATCCTAGAGGCAGTGGGCTGCAGAGGTGGTGAGAGAGGAGGTGGGGAGAGAGGGTCTGGGGTGCAGGATGGGACAGGAGGACTGGGTGAGGGCAGCAGGGAACTGAAGCCAGGAGGGGCTGCGTCTGTGGGGAGGGAAGAGTGGGGAGTGAGAGTCAGGAGGAGGTGACTGTGCCGGCTGAGTGGGGCCCCAGGGAACAGCATGCAGCAGGGCCCTGGAGTGCCTCCCTCTCTGGGAAGTGCTGGGGATTGGGCGCGGATGAGGACCCAGGGGGTGGGCACCAGGAGGGGAATCTGAGCACCGTCCCCAGAGATAAGAGGAGGGGACATCCCCCCTGCTGGAGGAAGGGGTGAATCAGGAGGGGATGGGAACATTGAAGTGGGGTTCTGAAGGGTGAAGAGGGGTTTGTTTGACAGACAGCATAGGGCAGACTGCTCAGGGCAGAGGGAAAGCTGAGCGGCCCTCACTGGGTTTGAGGTCCCTGTGGGCACCGTGGGCGGGGTCCAGAGAAGTGAGGAGCGTGGGGCTGATGCCTGGGTGTGGGGAGCGGCCGGGCCAGATGTGTGAGCACAGGGCCAGCTGCTGAGACCACAGGCCCAAGGTGAGCGGGCCGGGGAGCCAGCCCGGCATCGACATCATGTCAGGAAGGAGGGTGTGCCCGAGGCCCCAGGAAGAAGCCTGGGGAAGGAGGGATGGTCCAGCCACCTTCAGCTTGCCAGCCTGGTCCTCCTGCTGTGTGGCTCTAAGTAGGCGCGTACTCTGCTCTGGGCCTGTCCCCATCTGCAAGATGGGGCGACGATGGCTGCCTAGGGGCTCCCGAGGGTTCTAAAGCTAACGAATGTGTGTAAACTGCCCTGCACACAGGAGGTGCTTAATAAGTGTTGGCTTTTTTCACTGCTTCCCAGCTTATCTCCTTCCCTCCTGAGAAGCTGGCAGTGCCCTCTCTGTGTGGGGGCGGCCCTGACAGCCTGTCTCCCCCCAGCTGCTGGCAGTGCCCTCTCTGGGGGTGGCAGTGCCCTCTCTGTCTCCCCCCAGCTGCTGGCAGTGCCCTCTCTGGGGGTGGCAGTGCCCTCTCTGTGTGGGGGTGGCCCTGACAGCCTGTCTCTTCCCAGCTGCTGGCTCTCCCTGGAGGGGGGACTGCTCTATGCCTTCGTGGGACCGGCGGCCGCTGTCGTGCTGGTACTGACCCACCCAGACCCCTCCCCACTGTCCCAGGCTGGCCCCTCACCTCCCAGAGCCTTGGTGCTCTCACCTGCCCCTGAGCCGGGCCTTGGGGTGGACCTTCTGCCCTTTCAGGGTCTCCCTGATTGCCAAAGGGTGGGTGGCACCCACACCCCCTCTCCGACCTGCCCTCAGGGTGTTCAGACTGCAGGGGCTGGGCTGGGGTAGCGCCTTTCACACCTGCGAGCATGAGCTCACCTGATTATTAGGCACCGACTGCCACCTGCCAGGAGATCTGTGCAGGTTTGGTGAGTGGGTGGCAGGGGAGGGGTGGGGACAGGTGGATGGATGGGTGACGGAAGCCATGGGGAGCATGCAAGCGGGACCGTAAGTGCCCACTGCTGAGCCGTGCTGCCCACTGCCTGGCAGTGAGGACTTCTCCTTCTTGGGCCTTGGACTTTCCTTCCCACTGGTCCCCCACGTTTGTGTGATGAGGAATGCAAGGCTGTGGCAGTTGCACACAGGGTTATTGTCCACGGGTCACAGAGGAACTTGGGGGACCTGCCTGAGGTTGCTGGCCTCCGCTGCGTCCAGCCACGAGACCGGCTGGGCCAGCCTCTGCCCCTTGGTGGAGCGTCAGGGTTCTAGAGCCGCCCTCATCCGCCCTTCCCCTGCCGCCCCCAGGAGAGGGTGTCCACGTCCACGGATTCCTGCAGCTACGCACTCTCTCCACAGGGCTGCACCACCTCCTCGTGGGGGGTGGGGCACAGGCTGGATGGGATAGAGGAATAGGGGTGGGGGCTGACCATGCAGGGGACAAGTTGGAGGAGCCTGAGGCAGGGTGGTGGAGGTGATGGGGCTGCATCCCTGGGCGGCCCCGGCCCCTCCCCAGTGCCCCAGCTCCTGGCATTCCTTGAAGGCACCCAGGCAGAGTGGGGGAGTCCGGCAGGCCTGTCAGCGCCTCCAGGGCCTGGCCTCAGCGCCTGGGGACTGGGGAAGGAGGACCTGAGGCAGGAGTGTCCAGCCCCACAGGTCCCCTCCCAGGGCACATCAGGAAAGCAGGGGCTGACACTGACACACGGTGCAGCCCGAGCCCTGGACTTGGGGCCAAGCAGGGCCTGCTTCAGGCAGGGTGCCCGTCCCCCTTCCCTGCCCGGCCACGTCAGAAAACCAGGCTGCCCAGGAAAGACGCCACCCGTCGGGCCGGCTGAACCTTTGATGTCGCAGTCTGGGAACTTTCCCTCCAGGGCCCTGCGTGTGGACTCACGCGCTCAGGCAACTATAGGGCCGCAGGGTGTGGGGTCCCTGGTCCAGGGTCCCACCGAGTCCCAGGGTCCCCCACCCTCCCGCTGCAGGAACATGGACCTGAGGGGATCTGTCCTTGCACCTTGGGGTGCCAGCTGCTTCTTTCTATAAAGTGGGAGCCTGAAGGGAGGACCTTCAGGGACCCTCTGGCAATGGGATTGGAGTTGGGTGGGGTGTGAGCCGGGACTCTTCCCCCATCCCAGCAGAGAAGGCCAGAAGAGAGGGGAGACCCCAGGGTCCCAGGGCTGTGGAGGCAGCTCACAGGGGTGCTCTGGGAACAGTTCTTATCTTGGTGGGAGCTTGGGCAGCAGCACAAGAGACATACCTTAGACAACAAGGAGAACCTTCTGGGTGCAGGTGCCCGGCTGGGCAGGTGGCAGTTGGTGCCATGGGAGTGTCAGGGGAGTTGAGGAAGCCATCAGAGGGAGGGGTGGCCTGCGCAGAGCAGAGTGCGGGAGGAATGTACCCTGGCTGGGCCAGCATGCAGGGCACCCCCAAAACAGGTATCGGCCAGGGAGGGCATCTTCAGCCCTGGGGGTTGCTGAGCTCCCTGGCATTGGAGGGACGCGAGGGGCAGAGCAGAGGTGCTGATGGTGTGAGGTGGTGCACAGAGAGGCACTGGGCTGGGGGTCACCTGAGGGTCCTCGCCTGATGGGTCTGCACGGTGGAGGCACTGGAGGTGACCCTTGGTGGGATGGGGGCCGCCGTCGCTGTGGCTGCAGTTGGCCGTGCACACACGGGTGGTCTCCCGGCCCCCACAGCCTACCTCTCTGCCCGGCAGGTGAACATGGTGATCGGGATCCTGGTGTTCAACAAGCTCGTGTCCAAAGACGGCATCACGGACAAGAAGCTGAAGGAGCGGGCAGGGTAGGCCCCGGGCCCGAGCTCCTCGTCTGCCTGGAGTCGAGAAGACCCAGAGCCCGCCCTCCCAGACCCCCCTGGTGATGGAGGATGCTCCATCTCCCAGTCCGAGACTGCAGGGCCTGGGACCCCGGAGCAAGGAGGGAAACCGAGGCACAGAGTTCAAAGGCCTGCTCAGGCTCACAGCCAGCTCTGGCCTCACTCTGTGCCTCAGTTTCTCCATCTGACCTGTGAGAGAGTAGGACCTGTAAGATCCTGAGGAACAGTGAGCCTGATTGTTTAGGAAGCCCAAGGTCAGGTGCTCGGTTCCCAGGCCTCCCTCCCACTTTGCAAGGTTTGCTGTGTGTCCCTGAGAGGGTATCCCCTTTCTGTGCAGCTGGCTCATGGTCCTAATGGGACCTTCATCACTGAAGACAGTTCAGGGGCCAGGTGGGGCTGGGGGGGGCACCTGAGCCCACGGAGCACACTGCCCTGCAGGTGGTGGGGCCCAGGTGAGGGTGGGGGGTGCTCGCGACGTTGCTGCTGCTCCACCTTTCAGGGACGGGGCCCTGGTCACAGAAAGGGAGCTGCGCGGTGTGGGGCCCAACCACGGGCAGACGAGCCTCTTATGTCCTGCCCACCCTCTGAGCCCTACCTTACCTCCCCTGCTCTCTGTGTCCTCCCCCGGCTGGTGTCTGCGTGGGGTCCCCACCTCCCTCTGTGCCCGTCCTGCTCAGTTGCTCAGTCTCTGTCTCTGTCTCACTCTCTCTTCCTGGCTCCTCCTACCCCCATGGACCGAAGCTTCAGGAAGCCTTCCCTTGGGTAGTGGGTTCTGGCCCTGGTTAGACAGCAGCTGAGCTGGTGTGGGGTGTCCTTGGGGGCCAGAGTGGCTGAGAGCCTGGCCTTAGGGGCCCTGGGTCTGGGCCCTGCCACAGGGCCTCCTCTCCAGCCTGCGAGTGGAGGCTGCAGCAGGCTTCCCTATGGCCTCACCCTGCCTGCTTCTGAGCACCCTGTCCTGCACACGCTCCTGAAACGGTGGCCACCCCAGGGTCTGAGCGCCGCGCACTGCCTAGCGGCACAGGCGACAGCCATCCCTTGAGCACACCCGGTGCTGATGTCTCTGCTTATTTCTCAGAGTAACTGTCGAGGCGATTCTGTTATTACACTCCCATCTGACAGCAGGGTAAACTGAGGTTTAGGGGGGACGAGCCACTGTTGGAGCTGAGCCCAGTCATGGATGCCCTGTGCACTGCCTGCCCTCCCAGTGCCGGCCCGGCGCTGGGCACATGCACTCAGGAACACCCAGACTTGCCCATGTGGCTGTGCATGGATGGAGACGGGGAGGCACCCAGCACACATGCACACACACACGCATGCACACACCCAGGAGGACTTGCGGGACGCCACCATCTGGGTCATCTCCCTTGTGGATACACAGGAAGTGAGGGGAAGGCGGCAGCAGCCTCCCCCAGGGAACTTGCTGCTTTGTGCAGACAGGAGGCAGAGAGTTCACCCTCAGCTGAACACAGTGCACGGACACCTGCACCTTCTCCCTCCCCCCGCACCCGGCCCTGTGCAGCCTGTGGCCCCAGGCCTGGGTTCCTTAGGTGGACAAGAGCCCCCAGGACTATCGGCCGAATTGCAGGGGCTCCGGGCTGGACTCCTGTGTGGTTGGTTTTGCTTTTTTATTTTGCACCCCTTGGTTTCCACAAGAACAGTGGGCTTGCTTTTGTTTCAGCCTTTTAATTTCACTTGCAGTCAGCTGCCCCAGCCCCCCCTTGGGCGTGCCCTCAAATGTGCCGAATGTGGAGTCCTCTCTGCCGCCGATGCCACCTCCGACGCCACCAGTAATGCCATGTTAGTGCCTCCCGGCCTTGGCCCTGCCTGCGGGGCTCTGCTCTCTTCTAAGTCACGTTTTGCTTGTTTTATGTTTTTCTTTCATTTCTTTCTTTCCTGCCGTCCACTCTGGGTTTCCTGGGCCACCCCTTACCCTCCTCTGCTCCCCCAGGCTCCCTTCCGTCCTCCCGGCAAGGTGGCTGTAGGGCCTGGCAGCACCAGGGACAGGCGCAAGGCAGGGAGCGGGCCGGGCCTCGCCGTGGGCAGGGCGTGGCCGTGGCAGGCGGTTGCAATTGGGAAGGGGCTGGTGTGGGGCCGGGCTGCGTGCTGCGATGTGTCGGTTCCGGAGGTGTTTTCCTGCCACCCCGGCTCCCGTCCGCCTGTGCAGAGCCTGGACTGTAGGTGCCTGGGCCGGAGGCTCGCGCATCTCTGTGGCAGGGTGGGGGAAAGCCAGGGGCCTGCCTGGTGGGAAACCTCTGCCCCGTGTGGGCTGTGTGAGTGTTCGAGAGCCTGTGAGAGTGTGTGTGAGAAAGAGCAACCGGGTGCATGCGTGCCTATGTGTGTGACTGCAACTGGGGTGTGCAGCTGTGCACTTGTGTGTATGTGAGTGCACGTGTGCGAGTGCAGCTGGGCATGCGCAAGCGCGTGTGTGTGCAGCTGTGAGGGCGTGACCTGGTGTGGGCATAGGTGTGTGAGTGAGCACGTGTGAGTGTGTGCCTGTGTGTGTGAGAGCACAGCCAAGTTTGTGCATGTGTGCAAGTGTGTGTGATTGAGTGTGCTGTGAGTGCAAGTATGTGTGTGTGCGCGTGTGTGTGACTGGGCGCCTCTGCATGTGCGAATGTGTGCGCGTGTGCAAGCATGGAGCACATAGAGGTGTGTGCGTGCATATATGAGTGTTGCGTGCGTGTGTCAGAGATCGAGAGGCAGCCACGGCGCAGGGCTGAGTGTGACCCGGCAGCCCCAGGGCTGCTGGGCGGTGCGGGCGCAGCTGGGGGGAGCTGGTCTCCAGCGTCTGGGCTTCCCAGCCCCAAGGGTTCTCTCTCTTGTCCGTGGGAGAGGACGCTGGCCATGGAGCTGTGTGACCTGCCACAGGAGCAGGTTCGGGGTGAGCACTAGCCTGGGTGTGACCAGAGGGCCGAGCGAGGAGGGTGGGCCGGCTTGTGCCCGGATCCACACTGGCCCACCCTGCCCCAGGGAGGACGGTATTCTTTGGGGTTGGCATTTCCCTTTCTTCGTGTCAGCACCAGTCACACCGTGGGGGCTCTGGGGGCTCTACCTGCTCCGAGTGGAGGAGGTCAGGCAGCAATTCCAAGGTGGTGACTCTCCCACACAGACCTTGGGGCATCTGCCTTCCAAGTGGGGAGCTCCCTTGGCGGCCCTGGACCTTCCTGGGTCCTTTGCTCTGGCCTCCGCAGAAGTGCTCTGCGAGTGCTGTAACCAAGGGAGACAGCGGGAAGTTGCCTCGTGGGGCTGAGGCCTCCCTGGGGGAGGCTCACGGAATGCCTGCTTTGAAGGGAGGAGGGAGGTGAGCCAGCCCCCACCATGGAGGCCCAGAGCCAGGAAAGGGAGGGCCCTGCTCAGGGTGCCTCTGAGTCCTTCGTGGGGTATATGGACATCTGTGCAGGGACTCCTGGTGGCAGTCGCCGTACCAGGTGCGGGTCACAGCAGGGAGCAAACAGACAAGGCCTGCCACCGCAGCCTCGGGGAGGGGTGCAGACCGGGCAGGGTCAGCAGGGCAGCCTCTGAAACAGGGCCAGGGTCTCGTGCCCGGGCAGGGCTTCCATGTAAAAGGGAGCTATAGGAGGTGGGGGGCCTCCAGGAGACCCCACAGCTGTCTGGGGGTGAAGGGAGTCCTGCGAGGTGACTAGAGCCTGTGCTGTGCCCAAGAGGGTCGGGGATGCTTCAGGGCAACTCCTGGCTCTGGCCTGAAGCAGAAGGTGGGTGGCCAGGGAAGCTGTCCGCTGAGACCTGGAGGCGCTGGCTGGGGCAGGACCAGGAGTTTCTGCTGCGAGTCGGTGGCTGCGGTTTCAGGCACTGGGCCTGCACGTGTCAGAGCCACGGCTAGGTGGTAACAGCTGAGGCTGGGGGCAGGCGACTCTTTGAGGACAGCGTTGCTGGAGAAAAGCAGGGTTGGGCCTGGGATGGAGGACGTGGGACCTAGGGCCAGGTCGAGGAGGAAACTCCAGGAGGCAGGCATGACTGGCTGTGTCCACCAGAGGCCCAGAGAGACGAGGACAAGGACCGAGGTGTCCCCTGGGCTGGGCCCTGCGTGGGTGGGAGTGGCGCTATGGTTGAGCCAGGTCGGGGGCGGGGGTGGGGCAGAAGGGAGCAGAGTGTGCAGTTTCGAGGCAGCCACTGCCTTCTGGACCCCTGCCAAGCCCTCTGCTTTTGGGGGTCCTTGTCCTGACCAGACCCCAGTCCTCCTCACCCCTCTCCCCAGCCCTGGTGCTCCAGCTGCCGCCTGGTGCCCAACCCCACACCCTGCTTAGTCCTCCTGCCCCACCCCCTGCTTCTCCTTTGGGGGGCGGTGGGTGAGCCTGAGGCCAGCCTCACCCCTGGTATGACGGTGAGTCTGGTGACCCTTGGGCAAGGCCTGGGTGCCCCATGAGTGGTCCCCAGGCCAGTGGCCCCCAGAGTCATGACAGTGCCTGGGACGGGGACAGGGCACATTCCTTAAGCAGCCCATGGTACCCTCTGTCCACAGCTCCTTGATAACGCACAGTGTCCCCCCACTGTGAGGACAGGGAGACCTGCTCAGGCCACATATGGAGCTGAGGCAGTGCGGGCAGGGCCAGGCCTGCACAGCTCGCACTGAGGCCTGTTGAGCTCCTGGAGAGGGGGTGGCACTGAGGGGCACAGCCACAGGGACAGGTCCAGGCAGGGTACGAGGGGCCCGGGAGGGGCAGGCAGAGCAGGCTGCCAAGAGGAGGAAATGCCTGTCGGCCTGTCGCTGTCTATCTGTCTTCTCCGACCCCCTGCCTGGCCTTGTCCATCCATCTGTCCTCTGTCTTGTCCCATTGCAGCTTCTCTCTCCCTCCTGGTCTCTGAGCTCTGGGGCTCTGGCCCCCTCACCTCTTGCCAAATGTCCCTCCCCCACAGTCACCTTGCTCTGCAGTTGGGCCTGGATCCCTTGCCTGGGGCCTGGGCTGGTTGAGGGCCCCAGACAGAGCCAACAGCTCCAGGCCCTGGCCCCTCCAGCCTCCTCCTCTCCCGTCTGTCCTGGACTCAGGAGCCTGGTCTCTCCCTAAGAGCTCCACCCATGCCTGGCCCCTCAGGCCCCCTGGACCTCCAGGCTCCTGAGGGAGGTGCTGGGACTTCAGTGTTGACCGAGGGCTCCTCCCCAGCCTAGGGTCTTTTGAGAGAGGGGAGGCAGGGTGTGGGGAAGGATGGGTGGATGGGAGCCCTGGGGAGGAGAGCAGGTATAGGTCACAGCCTAGGGGCTGGGGGACCCTGAGGGAGATGGACTCCAGAGAGGACCAGGGGCCTGGCCCCAGCCTCCAGTGACAGAGGCGGGGCTCGGCCAGGTGCTCCACCGGGGGCTGTGGGGTGGGGTGTCCCCTTCCCCGGCATGGGTGGCGGGGCTGGGGCAGCGCTGACGCCCTCCGTCCCCAGGGCCTCCCTGTGGAGCTCCTGCGTGGTGCTGCCGCTGCTGGCGCTCACCTGGATGTCGGCTGTGCTCGCTGTCACCGACCGCCGCTCCGCCCTCTTCCAGATCCTCTTCGCGGTGTTCGACTCGCTGGAGGGCTTCGTCATCGTGATGGTGCATTGCATCCTGCGCAGAGAGGTGGGTCCTCGCCCAGCCCATGCCGGGCACTGGTTCCCATGGTGTCCTTGGGGCTACCGTGTGGCCGACGGCCCTTCCCATGTCCCCTCCGTGGGGAGGCTCCGGGAGGCCCCCAGTGCTGCTCTAGGCTGCGGTGATCCTGGCAGGGCGCAGACTTGTGCACTTACTTCATGAAGGGCATCGACAGTGGGACAATGGCTGGCCCTGTGTCCAGCACACAGCCAGGCTGCCAGGAACGGCTCGATCATTAACGTAACGACTTCTTCCTGAGGACGCCCTGCTGCCCGAAGCTGGCCTGGGGGACAGCGGCAGGTGGGGCCTACAGGAATGCAGGCACCAGTGGCAGAGATAAACCGCTTTCAGGACAGCTGAGACTCTGGCTTCTAGCATTTTCTGGACCTTTTCAAAAAGTGTCAATAGAAGGTTTTCACCAAACTGCATCCCAACTACCATGTGGCTGGTGGCAACGATTAGGGTGAAGTGTCCCATCTTGCAGAGGTGGAAACGTGGAAACACATGCATGTGACGTCCATGGACTAAGACACCTGCTTTTAGATCAGAGTCAGGACGTGGCTAAAGGCTGGGAGTGGGTGGGTGACCCCCATTCCTCCCTGGAACCGCCTAGGAAGATGACAAAGGGCCTTTTCAAGAGCACACAGATCCGGGAGGACAAAGAGAACGAATAGAGGCCATTTCCCACAAAGTAGAAAAGACAGGAGTCAGAGAGAAGATTTCTACGACAGCCAGCAGGGCATTCCCGAAGGGACAAATGGAGGAACAGAGAGAGCAGTGGAGAGGAGGGGCTCCAAGGACAGGAGAGAGAGGGACCAGGGGCGGGACATATGCCACCTCGTTGCTAGGAAACTTAAGAACGTGGGGTCGGGAACGGACTAGGGGACCCCATACCCTCCCATGGTGCGTCGGACAGGGACTTGAGGGCGAGACTTCTCCAGCAGCCTCTCTAAGTTCCCAGCCCTGTGTGCGGGCTCCGTGTCCAGGGCAGAGGGAGGGGCCCTGCTGCCTGGCCAGGTGCTGAGGGGCTGGGAGCCCTACCCACGTCCACAGCCTCTGAGAGGCTACCAGGGGATGGGGGATGTATGAGGAGGACAGGCCAGGTGGGGGTGGGGCCAGGCAGCTCAGCTGGCCCTGTGGGCCTGGAATGTTCCTGCAGGTGGACAAGTAAGTCCCTCATCTGTGCAATAGAGCCTGGGTCTCTGGGGCTAAGGATGACCAGGTGAGGTTCCTGAAGAGGCAACAGGACAGATCCTGGGAGTCCCAGCTCTTCTTCAAGCCCCCAGAGAAGGTGCTTTCCGGTCTGCCTGTCCTGGATCACGGTCTGCCGGTGTCTGGGCGCACAGCAGGTGCTCAGTGGATGTCAGCGGGCAGGTCCCTGAGGGACAGGCTTGGAGGAAGGTCTGCCCTGGCGGGGCGGCCTATGAGACTGAGCTGGTGTCAGAGGGCCAGAGGCCATGCGACCCTGGCTTCAGACCTGGCCCTGCCTCTGACAGGCCACGTGGCTTTGGGCAAGTCTCTTGCCCTCTCTGGGCTTCTGTCCCCGTCTGCCTGGTAGGAGGAGTGGGCTGCACACGCTGAGGTGAGGGAACAGGGCCCATGGGGCTGTGGTGGGTGGGCGTGTGCCTGATCCGCCTCCTACCTCTCCTAGCTTCTGCTCAGGACTCCTCCTCCAGGGAGCCACAGTTCCCTCTGCACAATGTTGCCCCGGGAGCATCCGCTCAGGAAGACAGAGGCTCTGCCTAGAGCAGCCGACCGGTGGCTGTCACATGGGAGATGAACAGTCGGCTATTTCCTCCTGTGTCCTGACCCGATAACGTCCCCTGCATAACTGGCAGAGCCTCTGTGTTGACAAGCTCTGTGCTGGCCGCTTGGTTGGGCTGTCCTCTGTAGCCCCCCATGGGGCCTGCTCCTGTCATTGGCGGGTGTGTTGCTCTTAGCGATGCGGCTAACCAAGGGAGCAGGGCTGGCCGTCCCGTGGCACAGCCCTCACTACCCTGACGGACACTCCCAGGGCAGGGAGGGCCCAGGGCAGTCAGGAAGTTGAGGCTCTTGGTGACTTAGGATAGGCCTGGACCCTCTGCAGGCAGATGGCAGGTCCTGACTGGCGGACTCTGGCCAAGAGGCCCATGTGATTGAGTTGTGCTACAAAGGGCGTAGCGAAGGGAGCAGGGCCGGGCTCTTCTGCTGTGGGCATCTCTGTCCCTTCTCCACTGGGCGGGTCGTGACCCTGCAGAGAAGTGGTGGCCCTGTGAGGGGAGCCCCCACTGTCGCAGGGCCCCTATACCTTCCCCGTGGCACCCGCCCTGCACAGATGCTGCTCCTGGTGGGGTCTCTGTGACTCCATGCAGGTGAGGCATGGCTGCCCACTCATGCTGTTGGCTGTCCCTCCCCAGGTCCAGGACGCTGTGAAATGCCGTGTGGTCGATCGGCAGGAGGAGGGCAACGGGGACTCCGGGGGCTCCTTCCAGAACGGCCATGCCCAGCTCATGGTAGGACTAGGAGTAGGGGGGACACAGACTGCCCCCTGTTTGGCACCCCTCACCGGGTGCCTCCAGGTGCTCCCTGTGCCCAGACCTCTGCTAGGCCCTGGCAGCCCTGTTAGGAGGAGCTCCGAACCCAGTTTTCATTTGGGGAAACCGAGGCCTGCCGAGGGGAAATCACTGGTCCAGGGTTTTCACCTGGGAAGGGCTGAGTTAATGAGGAGTTTGGGCGAAGGCTGGCACCTACTCCATGCCCACCTCCTGGTGACAGTGGTTCCTTCTAGCTGGACACCACCCTCTGCTTGTCACCTGCACCTTCTGCCCCCTGATACCCTCCCCCACCTATCCTCACCACACTCGGTCTCAGCCCAGGGAAGGACCTTGCTTCACTTGGTTTATGCTTGGGGGCCGGCCTGTCCACTCCCGCCCCACCTCCACCTGCTGCCTCCCTCCTCCCGCCTGTCCACTGGCTTGTGCCCCGGCCACCGCCTCTTCCCTGGGCTCCCCTCTGCCCACCCCCAGCTGTGTGAGTGTGGTCCTGCCCTCCTTCAGGCCCATCCACACCCAGGTCCTTGCACAGGCCCACTGTGAGGGCTGTAGCCCAGGATCCCCCAAGCGCTGGGCTCCTGTGCTGTCCCCCGTGGACCCCCCAGTTCGCCACAGCCCCACCTCAGCACCTTCCTCCTTACAGCCCTGTGCCCGGGGCTCCTCCTCCCACCTCCGTCACCTGACCTGCCCCTGACACTGGTCCTCCTGCCTTGGCTCGACATGTGCGTTTGGGGGCTCATGTGCAGGGTGGAACCACACGCCCTGCCTCGGTCCTGCAGGCCCCGGGGCCCCAGCAGCTGCTTGCCCTGGCTTTGTCTCGACTGAGCCTGGCAGCTGGAGTGGCTTCCTGCCCCTCTCGGTTCAAGTGCATTTCCACCCAGACACTGCTCCCTGCCCACTCCGGCTGGTCACAACCTGGGTGAACTCTCTGAATTGCCACTGGGAGTCTGCTGCCCGCCAGTGCAGAGTGACCTTGGCAGCAGGAGGTGTCCCTAGGTCTTCGAGGGCCCAGATGCCTCATGGTGGTTGCGAGGGTCACAGGCAACGCCTCAGCAGATGTCAGCATCCAGCCCCAGTGGGCAAGGGCCAGGTCCTCTGGTGAAGGCAGGCCACCTCTGGCTCACCGAGTGATGTCCAAGTGCGACCTCCAGCCCCCAGCCTCAATGTCTCCGTCTGGAAGGGAGCAGGTCTCACGGGCCCCAACAGACACTTTGTCTCTTGGGACACGATTTCTCCCTCCTCTGATGCTTCTCCTGGCCTGACCTCTGCCCCCAGAGGGAAGACTTCACCATCTTCAGCTAACCCAATTGCTGCGTTTTCAGGGAAGGAAACTTCAGGTTTGAGAGTAAGGGCCAGCCTGTCCCCTGGAGCCCTGTGGCCCCTGGAGAAGGACATGCCCGGGCTTGAATGGGTACTGAGAGCCACCCACTCCTGCACTGCCGGTGCTGCAGCAGGGACCATGCCACTGCCAGAGGGGTGGCCAGACCAGGCCCTGCCTCTCCCTCCCAGGGCTGTGGCAACAGGTGGTCCTGGTGTGGGGCCCCTTGGAGGGATGTGGGGCAGAGGACAGTTCTGGTACTGCAGGCCCCAGGGCTGCTCCTGAAGCTTGGGACGGGGAGACGGAACCAGAGGGGCTGGGGGTTAGCTGCTCCATAGACATCTTGGAGGGATAACACACGTGTGCCCCCAGCACACACAGCCCCACACACAAACAGAAACACACATATACATATGTGCACATGCTGGCACACATAGTACTCTCGCACTCACATAAACGCTTTCATACACACAGAAGCAGGTATACACACACTCGCACACATAAACACATGCACACAAATGCACACGCTCATACACACAGATACACTCACACACGCACACAGGCAAGAGCATTCAGGCACGGTCACCACGTGGGCATGTCGAGCGTGTGGATCACTCACCCTCATGAGCGTGCCTGCACACGCACGTGCACACCCCCTGCAGGCGGCAGCCCATGGCCCTCACCCCACTCTGCTGTCTCTGTCTTGCAGACCGACTTCGAGAAGGACGTGGATCTGGCCTGTAGATCAGGTGAGCGCCTGACAGGTGAGAGCGACAGGTGGCCGGGCCGGCCCACTTGCTTCTTTCTCTTCACCCCACGCATCCATCTCATCCACGCCCACCTCCCCCGGCAGTCCTGGTCTGAGCGGGAGACTCAGGCCCGGTGCAGTGGCCTCAGCCACCATGCCCCGACCGCCACGCACTCCCCTGAGGCTGCCGGAGCGTCTGTGGGGCATGAGAAGAAGCTTCCAGAACACTGTCCTGGAACCCATGCTCAGCAGGTGCTGGTGGGGCTCTTAGAGGCCTCCCCTGCCCGACCCGGCACTTCCTCTCCCTCCACGATGGCCCCCAGGCGATGAGCGCAGCCCCATCTAAGCACCCGCAGCCCCTGCATCCACCCGCCATCCTCCTCATGGGGCCACCCTCCTCCGCCCCACCCCTGCCCACCCGCCCCCCGCCTGGTCTTCCTCTAGAGCCCGTGTCTGTGTCGCCTTCATTTCTTCATCATTAGTCCAAGCACAGGGGAGAGGCAGGTCGAGCTTTCAGACTGGGGGGGGGCGGGCAAAGGCAGTGGGAAGGAAGAGTGGGGAAGGGCCTGGCACTGAGCCCCAGGCCTGCACTGGGCTTCCTGGAAGAAAGGAAGCTCCTCCCCACAGCCCCAAGTACCAGGCAAAAATGTCTGCTCTTTCCCCAGCGCTGGGAAATGGCCGGGCAGTGGCAGGTGGTGTCTTTCTTGGCGGGGGAGGGGCCAAGTGGCCACGCTCCCTCGGGTGGTCGGATACTTTGAGGATCACCTTCCCTAGAGGTAGTCTTGGTAGATGGCTAGGGACAGCCTGGGTGGGGAGGGATCCAGCCCTAAAACTCCCCGAGACTTGGGGCATCAGTGACATGGCCCAGCCCTGCTTGGGTGTGTGCGGGCCTCTCCCAGCCCTTGCTCCTTCTTAGCGAGGTGGCCGTGGCGCCGTCTGGGTCGTGAGCAGCAGGTGGATGTGTGGTGAGTGGCCACAGCTGCAGGGTGGGGGCCGTGCGGCAGTGCTGAGTGTGTCCAGGGAGAGACCTTGCTCTGCAAGTAGAGGCTACGGAGGTGCCCAGCGAGGGGCCTGGGGCCTGGAAAGAATTTGGATCTTATCCATCTGCAGCTGGGTGTATGCAGGGAAGGCGCACGCGCCGGTCCCCTGTGCGGGACGTTGCTCTGCCTTGGGGAGCAAAGTGTGGGGGATGTGGAACGTGGGGGCCCCCAGCGCTGGTGGGCTGTGGGGTGGCCCCGGGACAGATGAGGTGGCCTTGACCCTTGGGCAGGGGTGAACAGCCTTGGCCGGGAAGGTGGCGGCGCACTGCCGGGCTGTGCAGGTTGGGTGAGGGGAGAGGGTGGGGCTGAGGTGGGCACAGAGTGTTGCCGTCCAGAGTGTGGGGAAGAGTGCCCAGCTTGGTGGCCTGGGCACTCTGAGGGGACCAGAGAAAGTCATGGACAGGACAGTGAGTGGCCGTTGGCCTTGGCAGCTGACCCGGCAGAAGGAGGGGGCCGGGCCCTGTGTGGCATGGGAGCTGGTCACCAGTGAGCATGGGGCAGGGGTGCAGGGGTCGGGGCAGGCTTCCCGAGGAGGGGCCCCTGCATCTTCGGAGAGTGGGACCCTGGAGAGGAGGGGGTGTGGAGGGTGGGCACCCATCAGGTGGGGGTGGCAGCTGTGGGCTCTCCCCTCTGGCCAGTGGAAGCTGACTTGATTGGCAGGCGGGACGTAGGGCAAACCGGAGGCCAGGTCAGAGGTCAGGGCAGCCTGGGCCCGGTGCAGCTGCGCGGAGAGAGGTGGCTGGGTGCAAGGGGACTCGCCTCCCAGGACCAGGCGGCCTTCAGGGCAGAGGCTGAGAGCCAGACAAAGGCTTGCAGGCCGTGAGGTGTGGCCGACACAAGAGGAGCTGTGACAGAGGTACCAGGCCACAGGGAGTCCGGCCGGGCCTCAGAGCCACCCAGGGAGCTGCTGGACTCCAGTCCGGGCTCACCCTCCCCTCACTGACTCAGAGCCTGGTGCCAGCGCTGTGGGTGTCAGGAGCAGGTGGGGGCTGGCCGGGGCCTCTCCCACGGGAATAGGCTGTTCTGGCCACTCTGGGGAGCCATGTTCCTGCGCTTCCAGGCACCGAGGGCCGCCATTAGCTGCTGGGGAGGGCAGTGTGTGGGTGACAGCCATTTGTCCTCTCGGGGAGCGCTCTGGGAGAGGCACCCCATGTGGCAGTTGCATCTAAAAAGGCAAAGGAGCCCCAGATGCCAAAGCCTCAGGCATGAGCTGGTGACACATGCCCAAAGCCAGCCCCCAGCCCAGGACCCAGCAGAATTTGGCTGGGGCTCTCAGGAGGAGGTGGCAGCGTGGGGCCAGAATGGCCCATCTCCTGCTGGGGACTGTCCTGCCTTGCCCTGACCCCCTCGACCTGTCTCTGCTGTCTCTCCCTATGGCCCCTGCAGTGCTGAACAAGGACATCGCGGCCTGCCGCACAGCCACCATCACGGGCACACTGAAGCGGCCGTCGCTGCCCGAGGAGGAGAAGCTGAAGCTGGCCCACACCAAGGGGCCGCCCACCAACTTCAACAGCCTGCCGGCCAACGTGTCCAAGCTGCACCTGCACGGCTCGCCCCGCTACCCTGGCGGGCCCCTGCCCGACTTCCCCAACCACTCGCTGACCCTAAAGAAGGACAAGGCGCCCAAGTCCGCCTTTGTCGGCGATGGGGACATCTTTAAGAAGCTGGACTCGGAGCTGAGCCGGGCCCAGGAGAAGGCTCTGGACACGAGCTACGTGATCCTGCCCACAGCCACGGCCACACTGCGGCCCAAGCCCAAGGAGGAGACCAAGTACAGCATCAACATCGACCAGATGCCCCAGACCCGCCTCATCCACCTCAGCACGGCGCCTGATGCCGGCCTGCCTGCCCGCAGCCCACCCTCCCGCGAGCCACCCCCC